TGGAAGGGGCGGGGGTGTTGGGCGGTTGGGGATGGGTGGGGTAGCGGCGAGGGGATAGGGCGCACCGAGACGCGCGGCGCTGCGTTGGGGTCGGACCGCGGGCGAGCCCGGGTGCAAGTGTGCGACTTGGGAGCGAGGACAGCGGGGGACGCCGGCTCTAGGGATGAGCAGGACCGAGGGTCCGACCGCGGGAGCCTGGGGGGAAGGGAGCGCAGGGCGGGTGCAATGGGCCGCCGCGCGCTCGCCTGGGTCGGGGAAACCAAGAGAGGGCGCTCAGGGAAGGGTGCAGGGACCAAGCGAGGACCTCCTTCTGCTCGAGGTGCTCAGACCCGGGTTCGAAAGCGCGGGGTGGGGTGGCGGACGCAAGGCCGCCGTCTGGTTGAGCCCGTTTTACCCTAGCCTTCCAACCGGAAGGCCTGGGCGCGCCGACCCACGCCCGCCTTCGGAGCGCGTGCAGAGGTGGCTCAGGGCAGAGACTCCTCAGAGGGTGGGGCCTAGCGGGATGGAGAGAGCAGGGCAGGGTTCTTGGGGCCGCGCATCCCGGATGAATGGAGGGCTCTTCTGAATCAGACGACCCCAGACTGTCAGCTGCTCGATTTGGCGGATGCATTGACGCCCCGTGCCCAGGCTTGGTTCCCTCACCCTTTGACAGCTGCACGCTAGCCCAGAGTCCCCGCCTTGTCGAGGAGGGCAGTCCCTGGCCCCAGATTCTCAATCTCAAACACTCCAGAAGGGAGCAGGGAAATGTGTTGGGTGGGAAGAAACCGGGTGCGGAGTGGAGGTGGAGGTCTGAACCCTCGGACTAGGCCGATTCCGCAGAGCCTGGAGCTGGGCAGGGCAAGGACTCTCTGCTGAGGACCTAAAATGCCACTCGTCCCAACCCCCAGCCCAGACAAACTTCTGCAAATGCAGCCCAACTGGTACTGAGGCTGTCTGACACTTCCCTTGCAAAGGTGTGAACTTCAACTCCAAGCAGTCTGGGCCCAGACAATGACGGTGATGGTGATGATAATAACAGTACATGCTTCTGTGGCCACATTCACATTGTGCTCGGCACTGCTTCCAGAGTTTTACCTGTTTGCCCTTGTCTATTATCCCCTCTCTCACACTGCTATGTATCAACAGAGGTAGATACTGTTATTTATTATCACCCCCGTTTTAGAGATAAAGAAACTGAGGCTCAAAGAGGTTAAATGCAAATACATGGCTACACAGCCTGGATCCGGAAGTGTTACCCACCATGAGTGATGCTTCAGTGTGAACCTGTGGGTGTGGGTGTTTCCTGATGTTCCCGGCCTCTGTAGCCTCCCTCCAGCCCTCCAGCCTCATCCTGCTCCACCCCCACCTCACCCCCTTCCTCAGCCTTCCTGTGACTTTAATCATCCCCAGAAATGAGAAGGTGGTGTCCAGCCCAGATCATCCCTCCGAGTACCAGACATGTCCATCCAACTTCTCAAATCCCTCAAGGCCAAGAGTAAGCAGGCCTTCCCATCCCAGCCCTGCTCCTTCACCTGTTCCTAATGTCAATCATTTGTGCCATGTCCACACACTCTTATAATCCTCTGGTATGCCTTTCTCATTGCCTATACCAAATGGGATCAGAGGCCTGGACTTCTGCATATCTCCTCTCTGTTCTTCCTGGACCACTCCAGGTCAGGATTCAGGCCAGGCCCTCTCCATCACTCACCCCTGTAGCAGTCTCTCCTCTTCCTGTCTGCCGACCCCTTCTATGCTGCCAGCTGCCACAGAGCACACAAACCTGATCCTGTCTTCTTATTGCTCAGTGACCTTAGATAAGTCCTGCCACTCCATCCCTGGCATGGCAGAGCCAATCACAGCACAGCTCTGCCCCCAATCACGTCTCAATCTCCCTAGTCTAGGTCCCAGGCACAGGCTCACCTCCCAGTCTCCACTGCTGCCCCATCTACCTGGATGTCCTTCCACTGGAAGCGATTCTAACCACCCCTCAAGGCAGGTACAGCTAAAACAGCACCTCTTTCATGAAGTCTCGGCTTCTGCCCCCATAAGAATGACCACTTTTCTTCCCTGTATTCCCACGTTATATTCCTAACAATGATGATGATAGCAACTGTTAACATCATGTGCCAACTATGGTTCTATGTCTTTATACGTAGTATCTCATTTAATCCTCACAACAACTCTTGAAATAAGTACTGTTAGTATTCCCATTTCACAGGTGAGGAAACTGGGGCACAGAGAAGTGGAATAACTTGCCCAGGATTGTACAGTGACACTGCCTCTTGAATGCCTTGAGTGGCATCACCTGTATCATCTTCTAGTTAATTCAGTGTTTCTCTGTACCTCCGAGGGCTGAGATCATGTCTTTAATCTCCTTGTCCCCTCAAAGCACCACATGTCATGCCTGGCCTAGTGCTTGTTGCAAGAATGGGAGTGAGCAGGGGAGAAAACAAATGGTCAGTCTTCTAGCTGGTGAGATATCACAGACTCCCTCATGACCTGGGCTCTGGGATAAAGAGAGGGGATGGATCTATCCCCATGCGCTGCTGCAGGGGAGATCCTGGTTGGAAAAGTGGAGGCTCCTTGCCCTGGTTGGGCTGGATGGAAGAGTGATTGTGAGGATTGTGTGTGTGTGTGTGTGTGTGTGTGTGTGTGTGTGCTGGGTACCAGGGCCCAGCCACCCCACAGAGCCTGGTGGTCACTGCAGCCTCTCCCCCAGGACATTGTCCAAGCATACAAAAGCGGGGCCAGCCTCCTCAGCAACACCACCAGCATGGGGCGCTGGGAGCTCGTCGGCTCCTTCTTCTTCTCCGTGTCCACCATCACCACTATCGGTAAGGGCAGGATGGGGCCGAGGGGGATGCGGCTGGGGAGGGTGGCCTCTCCCAGAGAACAGCGGGCCCGATTGCCTTTGGAGGGGTTACCTAGCATCTTATGGCTCCAAGTGGAGTCCAACTTTGCAGCATGGACACCACCTGGGGGCAGAATCTCAGGATTCATGACAGACCTGCTGACTCCTTCTCTGAAAATTTTGCCCAGATCCCCAGATTATTTGAGTGCAGTGTTCGAGTTTGAGAAGCGCTGCTCTAGGGGACTTCTGCCTCACACAACCTTTCAGGAGGCAGAGGGCTCCCGGAATAGCAAGATAGATGCCTCTGGGTACTAAAAGTGTTGTGGTCTCCTCAGTTGAGCCCGCCCAACACTGAGCCCCAGTGTGGCTGGGGAGAGCAAAGGGAAGATTAGAAAGGAAGAAGAGGCAGAAATCCAAAGGAAGAAACTTTAGACCCTCTGTTCCCAGCCCTGGGGGAAGTGGGTTTTCCACTCTCCCAGGCAAGAGCACTCCATTCCCAGAGACCCCTCATTCCCCATCGCCATCTTCCTTACACACAGGGATGCCTGTGCTAGCTAGACCCTGCAAGAGAGATGAAACAGACCTTGTCAGGAGGTTGTTAGGAGAAGGAGGAGAGAAGGCTGGATCCCTGCAGCTCTGAAAACCCAGGAAACCAAAAAAGACAGGCCACCCAGGCCCCTCTGCCCCAGCCCCTGCATGACATGGGACTTACCACCAGGTGGCAGACTGACACCACCAGTGACTTGGTCTACCACCCTCCCACCTCCTGGCATCCTCTCTCCCTGACACCAGCCTCTGTCCATTCCAGGGGGCGGAGAGGCAAAAGCACCCAGAGAACTCTCCATCTAGATTTAAATCCGCCAACACATGGCCGGGCGTGATGGCACATGCCTGTAATCTCAGCACTTGGGGAGGCTGAGGCAGGAGGATTGTTGGAGCCTAAGTGTTTGAGACAAGTCTAGGCAGCATAGTGAGACCTTGCACATCACTACAAAAATCAAAAAATTGGCCAGGCATCCCAGCTACTCGGGAGGCTGAGGCGAGGCGGGAGGATCGCTTGAGCCCAGGAGTTTGTGACTGCTATGAGCCATGATTGCGCCACTGCACTCTAGCCTGGGCCACAGAGTGAGACCCTGACACAAAAAAAAAATATATATATATACTAGTACTTGCAAGTAGATCTCAGGGCTACATGAGAGCTTGGGTAATCCTTGAGAGAGATTGGGAAACTGAGGCACAGAGCTATTGTACAACTTCCCTAAGATCACAAAAACCAGTGAGCAACAGTGTTGGAATTTGAAACCCAGCTGGGATGCTGCATTACTCTCTCCATAGTGTCTGCCATGGGAGGGTTTACAAGATAGGGTGCGAACTCTAAGCAATACAGAGATAGCCATCGTGGAATGAACAGTGGGGGAGCTCATGATTCTGTGATTCTGACCACAAACACACACACGCGCGTACACACACACACACATACACACACACACGGAGGGAATTCAGAGAGAGAAGGAGGAAAACGGAGATAAGAGATGGGACATCTGGGGACATCCCAAAGGAAGAAAGGGTATTCTGAGAGGCACAGCAGAGGCCAGCCTCCTCACAAGTCCCTTATCCTGGCCCAGCACCCTGTATGGGCTCTGCTTTCTGATCCCTCCAATGCAACAGCATCTGACAGGCACACAGAGACAGCTGGGCTAGTAGGATGGGCCTGAGCCCAGAAATCATCATCTAGAAAGTCCATTCCTGGCTTGCTCACTTGTTCACTCATGTCTCCATCCATTTATGCAGCAAATATTTTATTATATTTTATTTGAATCAGTGTCTCGCTCTGTCTCCAAGGCTAGGAGGCCCCTTGTCTCTACAATAAATTAAAAAATTAGCTGGGTGTGCTGGCACAGGCCTGCAGTCCCTGCTACATGGGAAGCTGAGACGGAAGGACTATCTGAACCCAGGAGGTCAAGGCTGCAGTGAGCCATGATCGTGCCGCTGCACTCCAGCCTGGGTAAGAGAATGAGACACTGACTCAAAAAAAAAAAAAAATCAAGTATGGTGGCTCACACCTGTAATCCCAGCACTTTGGAAGGCTGAGGTGAGAGGATTGCCTGAGCCCAGGAGTTCAAGACCAGCGTAGGCAACATGGCAAGACGTCATCCCTATAATACATCAAAAAATTAGCTGGGCATGGTGACATGTGCCTGTAGTCCCAGGTACTTGGGAGGATGAGGCGGAAGGATCACCTGAACCCAGGAAGTAGAGACTACGGTAACCGTGATTGTGCCACGGCACTACAGCCTAGGCGACAGAATGAGACTCCAACTCAGAAGGAAGGAAGGAAAGGAAAGAAGGAAGGGAGGGAGGGAGGGAGGAAAAGAAAGCTCCAGAGATGGAGGATGGAACTTAGCGGGGACCTGCAGATGGAGGAGGAAGGGTTGATGAGGAGGCAGGCAGAGAGGCAGATGGAGAACAAGAGGGGTGCCTGTCCCCAGATGCCTACATAAAGAACTCCATCCTTTAGAAGAGGAAACCCATAAAGGTCAACAGGTGGAGATGGATAGGGGTCGAGAGCCTCTGAAGTCCTCAGACCAGAAGCCATTTCTGTGGAGTTCTATGGATCATTCATTTATTCAGCAAACATTTAGCACTTTGTGTATACTGGATGCTTGAGGGCCCACGTCCCCATCTACAGCACACCTCCATTGGCTCATTCCATCCTCACACCCCAGTGAAAGTGGATGCCAGTGTCCCCATTTTACAGGTGAGGGAACAAAGGCTCAGAAAGGTCAAGCCACTTGCCCAAGGTCCCACAGCCAGCACGGAGCAGAGCTAGGATTCAAACCTAGGAAGCGCATCCGACTCCAGAGCCCATGCTCTGGACTTACACATGCTTTGGCCTATCTCAGGACCCTTCTGTAAGGTAGAGGGTGAATGTAAACCACTAGCTTCAACTTAGTGCAGTTGCACTAACCCCGTATGGAATGTTCAGCAATGATAGGGAGCAGGATGAGAGGCATTTGTTCACTACTTACACATTCAGTTGCATACTTCCTCATCCATCCATTCATTCATTCATTCAACATTCTGCCTTTTTTTTTTTCACTCCATAGCCTAGACTGGAGGACAGCAGCACAATCACAGCTCGCCACAGCCTCAACCTCCTAGGCTCAAACAAGCCTCCCTCCTCAGCCTCCTGAGTAGCTGGGACTAGGCACACATCTCCACATCCAGATAATTTTCATTTCTTAAATTTTTTTATGGAGATGAGATCTTGCCATGTTGCCCGGCCAACATTCCTTCTTTACTCATTCAACATATATATGGTGGTGAGTACCTAGTAAGGGTCAGATCCCATGCCAGTTGCAGAGAATATAAAGATGATTAAGAGCCAGCCCCAGCACTTGAGGAGGTGGACACGGAAACAAATCTTTCTCAGACTATGCAGTTGACCTCCCAGCCTGAACAGAGTGCTTGGGAGCCCTAGACCAGGAGCACCCACTGGACTGGAGAGGCGGGGACTAGAAGGGTCACTTATAGGTGGGCAGGGAGGGGAAGCAATTCTTCATAGAGAGAACATCACGTTCAAAGTCACAGAGGCTAGCCAGATGCAGTAGCTCATGCCTGCAATTCCAGGACTTTGGGAGGCCAAGGCAGGAGGATTGCTTGGCAATCCAGGGAGAACCCAGGAGTTTGGGACCAGCCTAAGCAACATAGTAAGACCTCGTCTCTACAAAAAAACAAAAACTAATCAGACGTGGTGGCATGCACCTATACTGTAGTCCCAGCTACTTGGGAGGCTGAGGTGGGAGGATTGTCTGAGCCAGGAGTCTGAGGCTACAGTAAGCATAATCATGCTGCTGCACTCCAGCCTTGGCAAGAGTGAGATGCCAACTTGAAAAAAAAAAAGTCAGCCGAGCTTGGAGGCTCAGCCTGTAATCCCACACCTTGGGAGGCTGAGGTGAGTGGATTGCCTGAGCCCATGGGTTCGAGATCCACCTAGGCAACTTGGCAAGACCTCATCTCTACAATAAATCAAAAAAATTAGCCGGGTGTGGTAGCACACGCCTGTAGTTCCAGCTACTTGGAAGGCTGAGGCGGAAGGATTGCCAGAGCCCAGCGGGTCAAGGCTGCGGTGGCCGGGAGCGGCCACTGCACTCCAGTCTGGGCAACAGAGTGAGACTTCAACTCAAAAAAAAAAAGTCACAGAGGCACAAGAGAGCCTAGGAGTTTCTACAGGACAAGAGTATGGCCAGAGCTGGGAAGGTGGGGGCACCAGGTGAGGCTCAGAGATGGGGTGGTTGAGTGCTAGGGCTTTTCCCAGCAGACATGAGACTCATGAAGGGTTATAACCTGGCTGATAATCTCCTCAGCTACGCAATTTGGAAAGATAAGACTGGTGGTGACCAACAGGGAAGGAGAAAAGAATGCCGGGGCTGCTAGAATCCTTAGTGAACATCTCACCCTGCCCTGCCCTCCCCTTCATGGCCCGAGGCCCCGACTTCCACATCCCCAGGCCTTTGATCTTCCCCTGGCTCCCACAGGGGTTGGGGAGGGAGCTCAGGTGTGGCAGCCCGAGACCTCCAGGAATCAGATACATCAAGACAGAATTAGATGTGCAAGAGATATGCTGGGATGAAAGAGAAGGAGCAGGACTCACTGGTGAAAGCGTCAGATGGCAGATGGGTCTGGTAGCTGTGAAAGGAGAGGGAAGGATGGGAGGCTGGAGTGGGAGGAGCCATGGGTTGCAGTCCAGCTCAGGAGAAACCCTCGACCAGGCCACAGGACCTGGGGCCAAGGCTGCCTGCACACGGGGTACTGCCCAGGGCAGGGGCAGCTGGCATTGTGCCCCACCGTGCCCAACCGCAGCTGGGAGCAGCCTGGAGATGGCAGGGCCTTGGCTTGAGTGGCGCAGTAGATCCTGGAGGTGCAGCAGCTAGAGGCCCCAGCCCCACATGCTCCTCGGCCCACCCAGAGAGGGAGGAAATGGAGAAAGACAGCCCCGCACTTGGTGGTTTGAGCTCCTGCACGCTGCTTAGCCTCCCAGTGCCTCCGTCCTCCGATATACTCCCTATCTGGAAGGGTGGTTGCGAGGATGGGTTGAGGGCATGAATGTACAGGCCCCCTGCCCAGAGCCAGGCACGGGAAAGGCAGGCCGCGCTGAGTATCTGCTGCCCTCATCTGGTGTGGGTACCTATGAGGGTCCTGGGGGTCGGGCCAGGGAATGGGGGCGGGAGCGGTGACAGGCAGGGCAGGGCTGGGAAGACCCCCTGAGGTGCCCCTTCTCACCTCAGGCTATGGCAACCTGAGCCCCCACACCATGGCCGCCCGTCTCTTCTGCATCCTCTTCGCTCTCATGGGAATCCCGCTCAACCTCGTGGTGCTCAACCGCCTGGGCCATCTCATGCAGCGGGCGGTGCACAGCTGCGCCCGCAGGTTGGGGGGCGCCGGGCAGGTGAGGGGGCTACTGGAGGATGGGTGTGTGGGTCCCTTCTAGGATGAGGGGCTGCAGTGGGCATCGGGGTCACTGATGGCGAGAGATGGAGCGAGGGTGACTGGTGGGAATGGGGGGGGATTGACGGCCACTGCCCAGAGTGGGATTCTCAGTCATCAAGGGCATCAGTGGTGGGATGGGGTGGGACCTGGCCGACAGGAAGGACAGGAAACCTGGAGAGCACAGGCAGGGCAAGGGGGCCCAGGCAGCCTGGGGGAAAGTGCTGGCCTGCCTCCCGCTCAGCACCCCAGGCTCCCAAGCACCAGACAGAGGCCACAGGGGGGCCGGGGCACGTGTGCACCCACAGGACCCCAGCAAGGCGCAGTGGCTGGCAGGCTCTGGCGCCCTCCTCTCTGGCCTGCTGCTGTTCCTGCTGTTGCCGCCGCTGCTTTTCTCCCACATGGAGGGCTGGACCTACAGCGAGGGGTTCTACTTCTCCTTTATCACGCTCAGCACCGTGGGCTTCGGCGACTACGTGATCGGTGAGCACCCCGGTCCACGGGAGGGCTGGGTGCCTCTACCTCCCGCTCCTCTGCCCCTGTGGCTGGGCTCTGCTGGGCAACTGATGCATGCAGACCCTGTGGGGGCTTGGAGGCCTGCAGTCCAGAGGCCGTGGCCCTGCCCATCTCTGTGGTGTGTCGGGGCTGAGGTCGCCCCTGCCCATCTTGACCAGCTCTGCAAGGTCCTCACATGTCCATGGGCCCCCTCTCATCTGTCCCCTCCCCTCCCCACGTTACTGTGCCCCCCATGGAACGCCAACACGTCCCCTGCTCCTGGGCTGCAGGTCACAGCCCAGGAGTCCAGGAAACTCATGCAGCCCCAGCCTCCCATAGCCCTGTGGGAAAACAATTGACAGTTGAATTCTGAGGGCCAGCAAGAAAAGGACCTCGTGCTGCAGATGACCCGAGATGGGGTCTAATCAGTGGTCAGTCACCCAAGAGAGGCAAGACCAGGTCCCAGAGCCCACCAGCCTTGCATAATAAAGCTGAGGCTGATGACCAGCAGGTGGCAGTGGAGAGACATTCTGCACAGTGGCCGGGGCCGCTGCACCCCTAGCTCAGCCTGATCACCCCTCCAGGCCCCTAAAGGTACACCACCGTGGTGCTGGCTTCAAGGGGCTCTGTGCCCTCCCTCGGATTCCATGTCCAAAAGTGGAGAGGAGGACTTCCCCTTCTTCCCTTCTGCAGCAACAGAACCCAAGCTGGAACACTGAAACCAAGTTTTACCAAAGTTAAAATCAGTTAACTCATTAGAAACCTAGTCATAGTTGTCACCTCCATGTTAACTGAGGAGGAAGACAAAACTTCAGAGAGGCCAAGCCATTTTCCCAGGATTGCATAGCTAGTGAGATATGAATTCTATTTAACTCCAAAATTCAGGCTGGGCACAGTGGCTCATGCCTGTAATCTCAGCACTTTGAGGGACCAAGGCAAGAAGACTGCCTGAGGCCAGGAGTTTGAGATCAGCCTGGGCAGCATGGTGAGACCTCATCTCTACAATAAATAATTTTTTTAAACAATTAGGCCAGGCTCAGCGGCTCAGCCTATAATCTCAGCACTTTGGGAGGCCAAGGCGAGTGGATTGTCTGAGCCCACGGGTTTAAGACCAGCCCAGGCAATTGGCGCAACCTCGCCTCTACAATAAATCAAAAATTAGCTGGGTGTGGTAGTTCTGGCTACTTGGAAGGCTGAGGCAGAAGGATCGCCAAAGTCCAGCAGGTCGACGCTGGGGTGGTGGTGAGCATGCCACTGCACTGCAGCCTGGGCAACAGAATAAGACTCCAACACACACACACACACACACACACACACACACACACACACACACACAAATTAGCCAGGTGTGGTGGCATGTGCCTGTAGTCCCAGCTACTTGGAAGGCCACCTGAGCCCAGCAGGTTGAGACTGTGGTAGATGTGATGATGCCTCTGAACTCCCCCCTGGGCAACAGAGTGAGACTCTGACTCAAAAAAAAAAAAAAATTCATACTTTTTTCAGACCCCTGCAACATCCTTTTTCTGAGCCTCAGTGTTCCTGTCTGTGAAATGAGGTGATCTCTAAAACCCCTCAGTGCCTTCTGACCTCTGTGTGCAAGACCCCCTTCCTAAACTTCTCCTTTCCCAGTAGGAACAGGGATCTGGTGCTGGGAGTCACATGCTGTCCTCTTCCTGATCTCCCAAACCTGGGAAGAGTGCCGTTGCTCTGGGAGGAAATCCTTGGGAAGATTTCTTCTAAATGGATCATGTTCCCACCTTCACCCTCAAAGTAGAGAGTTGTGTCTGAGGAGAGCTGAGCTCAGAGGCTCCAAGGGCCACACCTGCCTCCTTCATGGGTCAGAGAATGATTCTTGGATCTGCCTTGTCTATTTTCACTGCCATTTCCTCCAGCTAGGGCTGTTGTATACAACTGCACAGGTTGAGCACTGCACAGCCCTATAGACTTGCCATTCACACAGGGCATAATGAGGGTGGAACCCATGGGACTGTGCAGACTCTATCCTTGTCCTCCCTTGGTTCTCATGGCCTTTAAAAATTACAAATGCAGCCGGGCTCAGTGGCTCAGCCTGTAATCCCACGCTTTGGGAGGCTGAGGTGAGTGGATTGCCTGAGCCTGCGGGTTTGAGACCCACCTGGGCAACTTGGTGAGACCTCATCTCTACAAAACATTAGCTGGGCGTGGTAGCACGCGCCTGTAATTCCAGCTACCGCCTGTAATTCCAGCTACTTGGAAGGCTGGAAGGATCGCCGGAGCCCAGCAGGTCGAGGCTGCCGGGAGCGGCCACTGCACTCCAGTCTGGGGGACGGAGTGAGACTCCAACTCAAAAAAAAAAAAAAAAAAATTACAAATGCTATCGTATCACCTGGCAGCTCCTCTGAAAACCCACATTGTTTTTTCCATAGTCTTAGGATAGAGTCCAATATTTATAACCCACCTCCTACCAATACTCCCTGGATAGGAAGACCTGGTCCAAAACTGCAAGGGTCTTTAAGCCCAAAGGGGCTTCCCAGGCCGACCACTCCTGCCCAGTAGTTACGGCTATGGACAGAGCTCCCCCCTTCACCCCACCTCCAGAGATTTGCTACCCAGTCTGGATCTCTCTGCAGTCACATCGGGGCCTCGTGGCAAGTAACCACACGGAGAACCCCAACTGCAAGGGATCTTCCTTACACAGATGTGGAAACTGAGGCCCAGAGAAGGGAAGAGAGTTGAAAATGGTGACAGAGCAGGCAAATCAGGGCAAGTCTAGGAACTCGTGTTCCAGAACCTTCCACACCTATTCCTCAAATCTCTCAGCGTTCTAGTCCGCCAGCGACAGGGTCAACCCCTTTCTTGGATGGGAATGCCGAGGTCCACCACCCGGCCACTGGGTGCCCATCGTCCCCGCGCCGGCAGCCACAAGGGGCGCCGTCTCCACAGCTGTGCTTCGCGAGGCTGTGGCCAGAGCAGCCCCGGGTCCCAGCCACCTGCTCCTCCCTGGCCCCACAGCTCTCGCCTCCCCCAATTGCATTTGCAGCCCGGCTGAGCGCCTTGCCAGCTGCCAGATCTCCTGCCCCTTGCGATTTCAGCCCCCCAAAATGAAATAAAAAGAGAGAGGAACGCCTCCTCCCCTGTGCCGCCAGGAGCAAGCCAAGCTGGCGGGTGGCAGGGCCAGAGGGCCGCTCACGCTGATCTCATTTGGGACCGTCAGCGGAATCACAGCCCATAACCCAATCAGCCTAATCCAATCCCAGCTCCCACCTGGCAGCGGAGGGCAGCTCGGGGCTGCAGCTTTAGCCCCGCGTGGAGTCTAAGAGAGGGCCCTGCCCTTGGAGGACTCGACAGCCAGGCTGTCTGGGGGCCAGCAGGACAGGATGAGGTCCAGACAGAGGCGTGGCACGGGGAGCCAAGGGTGTCGAGGAAGTAGGACCCTCGAAGGGCCTCGGTCTGATGAGGGAGGCGAGACAGACCCCCAGCGAGGGCACTGAGCTCCAGGGCAGGCCCTTGGCAAGAGTTCTCCGGGCCTCCCAGCCAACCCTCTCGGTGCCTTCTCTCCACCGTTACTTCCCCAGGACCGACTGTGTGGGGGCATTAGATAGTGAGTAAAGCAGCCAGCCAACTTCACGTCCTGGCCTCCCATCCTGTGCCCGGCAGAGTTCTGGGTACTTCAGCTGCACCAGCCCAGCAGTCGTAGAAGGAGGACTCTTGTCTCCACGAGGAGTTTGCTTAGCAGCGAATGTACACGGGCTGGGACCGTGTAGCAGAGGAGACCCATCTGACGTCCGGGGAACGACGTCTAAGCTGAGATCTGAAGAATGAGGGAAGTTCCCAGGCCAAGGGAAATGGGGGTGAAGAGCATTCTGAGCTGAGGGGACAGCAAGTGCAAAGGTCCTGAGGCAGGAAGGGTGACAGTTGGGGAAATGGGAAAAAGACCAGAGTGACTGCACAGTCAGAGGGGAGAGGTGTGCAGCAGAAGCCAGTAGGGGCTGAGGACTTGGACTTCATCCCAAAAGCCGAGGGGGAGTGATCCCAGCTCTCACTTCCCAAGTGAGGGACGTGCTGGCAATGGCTGTCACACCGCCACTAAGACCTGAGGCGGACCCATCCTCTGGCCATTCTACCCATTCTTCTAAATTCCCCTGCTCCAGTCAGCTGCCCCTGTTTCCAATATGAGAAAGCCAGACGCAGAGACAGGCAAACCATTGAGCAGGCATCAGAATCATTAAAATACAGATTGCTGGGCCCAACCCCAGAGTTTCAGATTTCCTAGGTCTAGGATGGGGACTCCATCATTTCTCGGGGGAAACTAATGCAACTGATTCTGAGGACCAGGCTTTGAGAACCACTGGGATAGAGCATAAACAGATTACCTCAGAAACACAGAGGAAATTTCACTTCTAAATGCAAGTGGCAATCCAGAGCGGCTTCCTGAAATCCTAGGGAGGTGACCATGCGGCCAGGAGATCAGTCTGGATTTCACATATTCTGTCCCAGTGATCCCTCAGTCTGCTCACGTGAATCCAATCAGGTATCCGAGTTTCTGTTTGGGGGACATGATCCTGACTGCCCATCATCCTCTGCTCCTGCCTCTTCCCCAGGGATGAACCCCTCCCGGAGGTACCCCGTGTGGTACAAGAACACGGTGTCTCTGTGGATCCTCTTTGGGATGGCGTGGCTGGCCTTGATCATCAAACTGATCCTCTCCCTGCTGGAGACCCCAGGGGGTCTGTGTTCCTGCTACCATCACAGCTCCAAGGAGGACTTCCCGTGCTGGCGCTGGAGACAGGGCCCACATGGGGAACCGGAGTCCCATGCCCCTCAGCAGGGCTGCTGTCCAGAGGGGCTCATGGAAATCAGACACCATCTGGAACCCTCAACTCAGAGTGCAGGCTGTGGTATGGACAGCTAGTTATACTCCACAATTTGCCCCATCCTCCTCAGTAACAAGACCCCTGATTTGATGCTTCGCACATGACCACCCAAACTAAAAAAATCACATTTTTCGTCCTCCTTTGAGGGTAGGTGCAGCGATATTCTACCCTGTAGGACCTACAGAGAAATGTCTTCTCTGACAATGGATGTGACTTTCCAATGGGAGAAGGCATACCCCTTTCCCCTACTTCCTTCCTCTAGCTGATTGCAATGCTAATACAGTGGCTGGAGCTCTGGCAGCCACCTTGCACCATGAGATAGAGACCATGTTTGAGATTGGTATCACAATAAGACAGAAAGAGCCTGGATCCCTGAGGATCACAGAGTCATCATGACAAACTTGGACTGAATACCACCAGACTTCGTTTATGTGGGACAGCAATAAACATCTCATTTAAAATATTGTTATTTGGGTTTTTCTGTCATTCATAACCAAACCCAATTCTAACTGACGCGCACACCCAGAGACAAAGACAGCATCTGAGACTGGAACCTACACAGAGAAACATCGCTCCCTCCCCAGGTGAGTTGGTCCAGGACTGGGTCTGTTGTGGTCCCAATTCTATGGCTTGGGCCCCTTTCTCCTCGTGCCTGGCCCCACTGGACTCAGAGTCCCTCCGGCATCATGTCCTTCACCCCCATGCCCATCTCTACCCTCCTGCTTAGAAATGCTTGCCCCAAAAAGACCCAACCTGGGATGCTGGGAGCTGCAGGTGGGTGGGAGGTGGAGAGGATGGCTTCTGATTGGCCAATTTCTCGTCTTCTCCTCAGCCAATGAGAGAGCCATTGGAACTTTGGCATCCACATCGCGGAAAGTGGGGCAGGGCAGTGGGAAGGGGAAGGTGAATAGGATGGGGATGGTGGTCATGAGAAGCCACCTGGAGAGGCTTGGGATCTGGGAAAGGCACCAGATCTTAGTTGTGAAATCACAGACCAGAGCGGACAGTGAGGTCTCCGCACGTCAGCGAAAGGCAGGGAAAGCAGAAGGGGTGATGACAGAGGCAGGCAGAGAACGCTGTCCTGCTGTCTGCCGGCAAGCAGCCAAGTCATTACTTATCACTTCTCACAACCTCGGCCAGGCCACCAAAGGCTGGAAGGAGGAGGGAAAGGGACGCCTACAGAGCGTGGTCCTCCAGGGTGCTGAGCTTGAAGCCAGCCGCCTGCGTTGAAATCCTAGTTCCACCATTTATCGGCTCTGGGATCCTGGACAAATCTTGCATCAGTTTTCTCCTCTGCAAAATAGAAATCAGATCAGCTTCCACCTACTGGGAATCAACGAGAGACTGTGTGTAAGGGACTGAGAATAGTGTGTGGTGGTTCCCTGGAAGCGTCTCGTGCATTTCAGTCATCAGCATCCCACAGCCAGGCCCAACCATCAGGGGCGGGCGGGGAGCAGATTCTCTGAGACCGTGGTTACGTGGCAGGCAGCGCCTCTGCTGACCCCCTCTTGGGGCTGGCCAGGCGGGCTGGGCTGAACCAGTGGTGACGCAGGCTGGAGCCCTGCCCTTGGGGGGCTCCCAGGCTGACACCACTGCACTGCTGGCTGGCTGGCTGGATAAAGGGACTGGACACACATGACTCACAGGGGAACCTCAGACAGAGACCAGGAAGTGAGTGCTGAGTTTGCAGATGCAGGGCCAGGGCACTGTCCACTGCTGCTCCCTCAGTGCCCAGGCAGGCAGGCCTCTGACACCCGTGGCTGCCTCTGCCAGCCTCTTCAGCAGGCTGTCCTGCTTGTGGCTTCAGCGTGGGTGAGACAAGGTCACACTCAGTGTCACTGGGCAGTTACCTTTAAAATAGTGGCATCTTTTATCATTTCATCATTATTGTCAATGATTATTATTAATGTTTAGTATTTATTGGAGATTTATTATGAGTCAGGCATAGGGCTAAGCTCTTTACTTATACTATGTCAACTCCAGAAAAGAACTTTTATTTTTTTAGAGATAGAATGTCTCTTTGTTGCCCAGGCTGGAGTGCAGTCATGTGATATAACTCAATGCAGCCTCAAATTCCTGGCCTCAAGTGATCCTCCAGCCTTGGCCTCCCAAAATGCTGGGACTGTAGGCATGAGCCACTGTACCTGGCCAAGAACTATTATTTTGTTGTTGTTTTGTTGTTGTTGTTTTTTAGAACTATTATTTTTAATACTGTTTTATGATGGGAAAAATGAGATCTTCAGTGGATGTGAAGACTGCAGGTAACCACGCTGTTCCTGGGCCCCGCCAGCCCTCCACCAGGGATAAGTGCTCCTGGCCAGAGAGGCAAGGAGACTCTTCCTTAAAGCTCGATGTGATCTTGACCAATCACTCTCTTTCTGTGCCTCAGTTTCCTTGCCTGTAAAAGGGGGTTGCATTCTGGGAGTCTGAATCCTACTACTTCTGCTCCTTCAGCCTTGGACTAGGTTGTTCTAATTAACATGTTTCAGGAAAGGCGGTTCCCAACCCCACCCATCTCGGTCCTCCTGGGGCTGGCTTAAGCTTTGAATCCAAGGAAGTCTCTCTGTGTCTTTCTTTCTTTCTCTCTTCTCTGTCTCTGTCTCTCTCTTCTGTCTCCATCTCTCTCCTTTATCTCTACCTCTATCTCTCTTTCCTCTATCTCTGTCTCTCTCTTCTCTCTCTTTCTCTTCTCTATCTTTGTCTCTGTCTTTGTCTCTCTCTCTCTTCTCTGTCTCTGTTTCTCTTTTCTGTCTTCGTCACTATCTCTCTCTCTTCTCTGTCTCTGTTTCTGTCTCTCTATCTATCTGTCTTTCATACACACACACACACACACACACACACACACACACACACACACACACAAACACACACACACGATAGGGAAACAGAGAGGAGAAGATCTGCACACAGTTGCACACAGTTCCCTAGGCCCCCGGCCCCGCCCTCATGGCCTCTCCAGTGCCAGCAGCCTAGTGGGGGAAGGGGTATCCATTCATTTTAGGAGCCAAACCAGACCAGGACTTGGCTCAGTGGAGGCCAGAGGACTCATCAGTCAGAGGCAACAGCTATGCCAAGACTCCCCATCCCCAGCCCTTACCTCACGGGGCCCCCACCCTTGGGCTCCAGGCCCAGAGAGTTGCTGCCCTGAAGTAGGCCCCACTGATCGACCCTTCATCTGCCCTCCCCAAACCACACACAGCGCCGGTCCCCACTCACATGGCCAATCCCTGGGCTTCCCACCCCACTGTCCACTCCCCCTACACACACACACACAGTTCTGGTCCCCTTCCACATGGCCGATCCCTGGGCCTCCCATCCACTGTCCATACACACACACACACACACACACACACAGCCGCGGTCCCCAGGCCTCCAGCCTCACTGACCTCCCTCCTCCCTCCTCCCCAATAGACACCGCTGGATCCTGCATCTCCTGCCCTGCCTTTGCCCTTTTCAGCCAAAACTCATGGCCAACTAAAATGGTCCCTTGGGGCCAAGGAAATGCCACCACCATCCCCCAAACCTTTTCAGCTCAACCCTAGAGTCTTTGCCCAAGATTTCCAGTCCCTGCCCCACTCCAATCACAAAGCCTCTCCCAACCTGTCAGGGACTCCAAGTCAGCCCAACGCCTGGCAGCAGGGCAGGCACCCAGTGCTGGCACCTCTCACCCTAGTGATCTGCTCTCCATACCCACCAGCACATTGCCCAGACTGTGAAGGCAAAACTATGCCCAGGCCCACTCCCCACAGCCTCTGATGGAGCTCCCCAACCCCTACCTAGCCCCAGAGTAAGAGAGGACCCTGTTCGGTCATTCCCCACCCTCCAATCTTTCCACATCTTTTCATTTTCTCATTTATTTTCCTCTAGGAAAAAAAAAAAACAGAAAAGAATCACATCTTCTTAGATCAACTTTTATCTCATTTATTCTTCCCTGGATTCAGGCAGATGTGAGTCTATATCCCGACTTTATCACTTGCTTGCCATGTGACATTTGAGAAGTAGCATAACCTCTCTGAGCCTCAGTCTCCCTGTCCATAAAATAGAGATCCTGATGCTGACCTCAGGATTATTTGGATGAATGTGGGGGAGGGGATAGGGTAATAGATGAGAAAGCACCCATGTCGTACCTGGCACATAATAGGGCTCCAAATTATTTGTTCTCCTCCTTTCTCCTTCTTGGACTCAAGCTGCTACCCCTCTACCCTCTTCATCAGACAGCTCATGAAGCCCATCTGTGCCCCTTTCTTCAAGAAGTCCTCCTGGACTTGCCTGCCCTTTGGCTTCCAATGGCCTTAGGAGGGGCAGGAAATGAGGTAGGGGCGAAGGGAATCTATTTTTCAGGGCTCTGGGAGGCCAGGAGACAGACTGTAATATGAGAGGGAGAGTTTGTGTCTTGGAGGAAGCAGCTCCCAATGAGCCCCCTGGCAGTGGCCTCTAGGAGTGGGTGGGTCATTGGCCTGGGAGGGTGGGGAGGAGAGGCGTGGTGAGCTTCAGCAGCACTTTCTGCTTGGTATTGGCTCTTGTCTGCCTCTCTCCGCCCACTCCCTGACTCCCTAACCCCTGACCCCCTTGGACCATGTCATGGCTCCAGTCTTTAGCTTCCAGTTTGATTGAGCCTGAGAGGGAGCATGATGGCGAACCAGAGGAGAGAGAAGTTAGGGTGCTTGTCACAGATGCCCCTGCAGGCCCGCGCTCCCAGGATGGCAGCACTGACTCGGTGTGATGGCATGGCCCTGCCCTCCAGTTCCAGGGGTGGTAACAACTTCCTGCTGTTGCCAGTCCCTTGGAGCAGCACACCCCACACGAGCGGACCCACCCACGCTCTATCCGTGTCCTTTCATTACATGCTCCTCAGTGAGCCCCTGGGAAGTGCCATCCGCACCCACCATGGACCTGACTGACCCAAACACGCAGTTCATCAACCTCCCACCTCCTCCCTGCAGTGCAGCGGAGGGATAGAAGATCAATGCTGATTTTAAACCATGGAGGAATCAATCCAGCCACCCTGCAGTGGCCCCAAATCTTGCTCTGAGAACTG